TATGCAGGTGAAGCATAACAGTCATTTTTTGTATTTACACATTGTATGTATATATATATATATATATATATAGTTATACAAAAAAAAAAAACAGCAATGTGCAAAACATAAAGTAAAAGTGCACCCTCCAAAAACAATAAAAATATATAATCAAATAATTAATACTTATATTTGTATACAATGCAGATGGCAAGCAAATATCAGCAGTGCCTAAAAAAGAACAATATAACACATAGTGTGTACTGTAGGATAAACGTGAACGATGAATAATAAATGGTTACACTCACGAATTCCAGGCACGTCTCAGGCTCTGTATAAAAAGCCCAATGGTGCCTATACAGGCTAATGGTGAATATCCATGGACCACTGTAGTAGATGGATCACGGAAGTAAGGGTATGCAGCAACAGCAAGTAAACAAATACAAAGATTTATTATAGTGATAAAACATTGAAAAATAAAATAAAAACAAGGGCAAATAAAAATACTTCTGGATATGATAGAAGAGAACAATGTTGTTCTCTTCTATCAAATCCAGGGCTTACTCCTTGGCCATGCGTGGGTTGTTGAGATGAGTCCAGAAGACTCAATACTCTCAGCCTCCTGTGCTGTTTTGCTATCACCCTGGTTGGGAGTTGGCAATGGAAGGATGTAACTGTCTCCATCCTGAACACTGAATTAGTTCACCTGCCTGGGGGGCGGGCATGGCCTGTTCCTACAATAGGGGCACAGACACATCTTTCCATGGTACAATGGCCAAGGGGAAGGAGGGGTTTCGATTTTTTGACTAGAGAGGCCTCTTGGGGGGGAGCAATGATTTCTGCCTGGCGGGCTGGGGGCTGCGATTTACGGCTTCACTGTTGTGCAAACTTGAGTTTGGTGTTTTTACCTTTTTTTCTTTTCCTGTAAAAAGTAAAAATTGATGCCTAATTGCTGGTGCTTACCTACTATCATTGTAACTAACTTGCTGGGGTCTCTTCTAAATAAAGAATTTTAAAAGAAATATATCAGAAGATTAATGGAAGGACAAGTTAAATGAGTTAAATTGAACTAAATGATTTCTGTGACACACATTAACTTTATTAACAATCTTATCTATGGTATTTTTACAAATTAGAACATAAAAGTTTGTATCTTTATAATGTCTTGTTGCAAAATACAGAACTATGCTACCTCTAAAAAATTTTATAGGTGTGCACAGGCAGAAAATTTGTTTTGTTTTTGATTAGTTAATTTTCGAATTTCCAAAATTCTGAAATTATCGGTTTGCAACTAAATGAAATTTGGAATGCCATCCTTCCAATTATATAAAAGGATACCAAATTAGGGTGCTGTTTCATATATATTTCCCTAATTTGGTAACTTTAAAAATGGCAGTCTCACATTAGGGTTTCAAATGAAGGAGTTAGCTACTAAACAAAGCTGAAAGATAAAAATTAATAAAGGTATTTTTCAGTATTTTGCTCTTTCAGTTGTTTTGTAGATTGGCTCCTAATTTGGTACCTTAATTTCTGTCAATCAAATGTAAGGGTACCAAATTAGGGAGCTATCTTCTAAACACCTAAAAAAGCAAAATTAAGAAAAGCCCTTTTTCTTAAATTTGCTCTTTGAGTTGCTTAGTACATAAGTTCCTAATTTGTTATCCTTATGAAAACAAATTAATCTGTTTTGTTTCATTATGAATTAATTCATTTTTGGTTTGTAAAGAATTCTGAAATTTGGAAATAGTGATGTACCGAACGGTTCGCTGGCGAACGGTTTCTGGCGAACATAGCATGTTCGCGTTCGCCACGGCGGGCGAACATATGCGCGGTTCGACCCGCCCCCTATTCGTCATCATTGAGTAAACTTTGACCCTGTACCTCACAGTCAGCAGACACATTCCAGCCAATTAGCAGCACACCCTCCCTAGCAGACCCTCCCACCTCCTGGAAGGCATCCATTTTAGATTCATTCTCAAGCTGCATGCTTAGTGAGAGGAGGGAAAGTGTAGCTGCTGTTCATTAGATAGGGAAATGCATAGCTAGGTTAGGGTTAGGTATGCTTTTTTTTATTTTTTTTTCTATGTAATGTAATTGCAGTTAGTTGTCTGCCACTGCTGCCAGCTTCTGTGTCAGGCTCACAGTGCATACTGTGCCCATTTCCCCAGTCAGTGACACCACTTATATCTGGTGTCACAATAGCTTGGATTTAAAA